TAATCAAAATAAAAGCGCAGCGCTGAGTCTAGGAGAACTCACCGGTATCACACACACTCCGGACGCGTCGCGTTCAACTCGAGCAGCGGTCTAAAACAGTTTATTTAATCACCAAACAGACAGAAGTTTACTTTAAGAATGAACAATTTGGCATGGGTGAGTTTGAAGTTTGGTGTTTAAAAAACGGAGCAAATGGCAATCAACTATCGGTGCCGATTAATCGGCAAAACCGATACATCGGTCGACCTCTAATAATGAATACAAATTATGTATTCACTGCTTTGTCAAAAAGTATTTTTTAATAACACACAGTTGACTTAATTTTAATCATCGGACACAGAATAAGAGAGTCACTGAAGTCAACTGTTTCTTCAAAAATCCTTTTTGAAGTGTTTCTTCATGCTATTAAGAAATTATAGGTAAAATAAGTAACCCTATTTTATTTCTTGATATATAACTTAATGTACTAATTTAAATAAAACTATAACTGAAACAAGTTTTAATATTGACTAAACTAATTTAAAAACTGTCACACTTTATTTTAAGGTCCAATTCTTGCTATTAACAAACCATTAACTACGACTTTTGCCTCAAACTCCTAATTTGCTGCTTATTAATAGTAAGGTAGTTAAACAAATATTAAAATGAAAATATAAAAATAAAAACTAAGAATAGTAAAAACTACAGAAGCCTATGTCTCTTTCAGATTTGGCAAAATGTTGCCAAATGGGGGTTCGATGGTAAATCAATTCGTGGATCGATTCTGCGATTTATTTTATTTATTTATTTTTTTTTTCTCCCCCTGAATGCATCGCTTCAGAAACAGCCGTACTCTTGCTTCAAGTTCCTTACACACACACCACTTGAACCTAAAATAATCATTCATAAAGTTTGAAAAGTTTGAAGAGAATTGCATGAGTGTTCACAGTGGGCTGTGATTACATTAATCTTTCGTCATAAAGAATAAAAGCCAAGGTGCAAGTACATTTAACCACTTAAATTACTCCGTTAAACGCACAAGCGCTCTTCTTTGTGAGCATTTGAGTGTGCGGTTAAAAACTAGCCTAGAGCATCATCTGCTGGTAAAAACTAAGCTCAGAATAGATTCCATTCAGAGACGATTGCGATGCATCCGGAAAATCGCAGAATTGATCCACGAATCGATTTATCGTCCAACCCCTAAAACAATGTGATTCAACTTTGATTTGATTTAGTTTTCTCTGAATCTAAGCATAGTTGAACCAAAACGTTTGTTTGTTTAATTAAATGACTTTAACTACATCATATCAGCATGAGTGGATATACATATGAACAGGTCTAACTAGATATTGTGAAACCAAAAGAAAGTTTGGTTTCTCACACTTCAATTTCACACTGATAAATCTATGCAGACAGCAGGCTGTGTGTGACCTACAAGAGAAGATCTTATATTTGTCCGAATCATTTCAGTCATGCTGCTAATGCAGTGTAGGAAGGTTCAAGAGACACTTACACGACAAAGTTGCTTTGCAACAAAATAGCAAAATGAATGTAAATGAAGTCGAATGAACGTCATTGCCATCACACCCAGCTCAAATACCTCTTTATGTTAGACACAAAAAAGCTCCATTAAATCCTGTAGAGACAAAACGATGAGAAAAACAGTTCAGAAAGGACACAAGATCAAACGAGGGAAATCCAATATTTTCTTGCTTGAAAAGGGGTGTTTAGTTCTGCTTGAACCTGTTCTAGACTGGTTGAACCAGTTTTCAATAGTGGCAGGTTGGTTTCCCGCTTGAAATCAGGAAGTAACAGTCAGATAGTGGGCTGAAGGAATATCGTATCATCAGATAGAGCCGTTGAACATAAATATGCCTGTGGAGGAAGGTGCTTACAAAAAGAGCGGTAATATCACTTGATGGTATCTTCTCTTGTATGCAAGCGTGCCTGTGTTTTCATGGTTTTGGCTTGTGGACAAGCCCTTCGAAGCTCTCATTGAGCAATTTACCACAAGTTCTGCTGTTGTGTTCTCTTGTATGAGTAATGAGATAGCTGGGAGTATTTCTGTGCAGTCAGCCTGGTGTCATGTCCAGACATTGATTCAAATGGTTTCCCATAATCTGTGGGATATTTCAGTGGCTGCGTTTTAGTTCCCTGAAGCTGCTCTAATGGCACTTTTATTCCTTTTGCATTCATTCAGCGTATCCGTAGAAGTGTGTTAACACTGCATTAGTATCATACTAGGCCTTTGTCCATCTTCACAATACCCTGGTCTGCCTGGGAACTAAAGCTCTCAGTCTTTGCATGCCTGTCTCGGAGGGTGTGGATGTTTACAGTCACACGCCACAGTAGAAATTCTCATGCCAATATCTTCCCATTAAGTGGTGGGGGTTTGCCTGCATTTTAGCAGTCCATGGTGGCAGTTCTCATTTTAGGACAAATCATTGTAATGATGAGTCCAAACTTAGTTATTCACTATAAAGATGAATAGCAAGCAACAACCTTGCAGTTTTTAGTAACTTAGGTTTTAAGCACTTAACTAATCCACAACCATAAACCTACTTGCTATTGCCTTACAAACCTTACAACAATGAACCAACACTTACTATTACTTATTAAAAGGCAACTCATCTCTGCTTTACTAACTTATTTTATACTACACTTGGTATTGTACACTATGAAATCAAATGTATGTATTTGAAATGCTGTGTGTGTGTGTGTGTGTGTGTGTGTGAACATATAATCAATAAATGCATTTTTTTCAGTCTCATGAATTTGAACTAATTGAATAGTGCTTGTTCAACAACTAGGACAATTTTCACCATGTTCACATACTTTTAACAGAATAAATGTAATTGTTTTCTGATCAACAAATTTATGCTGATTCTAAGCAATTTTAAGAAGTGACATTTTTCAAAATTAGTGTTTAAAATAGACACAAATAGTTAATAAACTGTCAAGATTTTTTTTGAATGAATCTTACCTGTTTCTTACATGTTACAATTATGTTTATGACTGGCAAATATGCATCACATTAAGTTTATTAGTTGGTTTGTTAAAACTGTAATCTAAGTGGATGGAAATGTATATGCAATTCAAATGCATAAATCTTACATTTAGGCCCAATTTTTGTGTGTGTGTTGGTTGTGATGTTCCTCATGAAGTCTTTGTGTGAGTAATCATGTACAAGTCATTTTATGTTGATTACTTAAGTGTTGTTCAATCAAATGCATTTTGTTAAGTTATTATGTATGCTTTTCGCTAGTGTTTGAGACATAAATGGAACAGATTTTTTGTTCCATACAAGACAAGAGTTTCATGAACTCAATGGAAAATTCTACCAGTTTTCTCCATAAGACAGCTCTGTGGTTGGCGAATAAGAGCATTTGCACATCTGTTCTTCATTTATTTCCGTTGAAGATCATTGGCCCCAAAAAGTGGACATGCTTGAAAAAGGCTGAATATATCAGATCCAAAAATATCAAAGCAACTAAGCAATTGGCATACAAATTTTTTTTGCACTTGCCTTAAGGAATCTGGTTTCAAAGTGGTTTGAAAACCTAACCTAACCCACATATAAAACCTAATAGATGTTTTTGTGAAATATTTGCATGAAAATGTGCTTGTGCCATCTTTTTTTAATAAATGCCATTTAGATTGACATATTCTTTTCTAATGCAGTGACATTAAGACGTTTTGAAGCATGGCATAAAAATCCAAATACTTCCAGCTTGACTCATCATTTGAGCTAAATTAACTTAACAGGGCAGCTTGGTCACTTGCTGTTTAGCACAACATTTCATACCATGTGACTGACTTATTTTAGAAGCAACCCCCCTGGCCCTAGATGTTAACTGACAAGCAGCAACAAATGTACAGCAATTAAAAGCATGCATATAATTGCATGGAAAAACTTAGCTTAGCTTCTTAGCTTACTCGACTTACCCTTTCCATTCCTTTTTGTGATGGGAGGATTCGTTCCAGTACTGTAAAATAAGAAGTATTTCCAAAACAATGTGCGTGGGATGCTGTTATTTCTGGCACGAAACTAGAGTTGTGAATTTCTGATGGAAATGTGAGTGGTGTTTGCCTGTGCATAAGTCACTACCAAAAGACAAGGGCGTTCTGAGTGGTTTTAAGCATGCTGCTACATGTTGCTAGGGTGTCTTAGGTGGTCGTTTACTATGTTGAGGAAGCTCTTGCTCACTCACTATGCTGGAATGTCATTTTCCAGGCATGTGCTGGAGAAACTCCTCTGCTGCAGATAAGCAGGGGTTATGCAAACACGTGCTTAATTGGGTAAACTGCCTGAAATGCAAGTTTATATGTGAGTGGTTTTCTTTATTGACTCTTTTAGTTCAATTGTATTTAATTTAGTTTTTCACTGTTGTTCTCGCAGGACAGCCCAAAGAATTTGACCCCGACTTCAAAGGGCCCATCCAAAACAGGTAAGAAACTAGCCAATTTATTTGATTTTTATGACATTGAAGCAATTGTTCACCTAAAAAAGAGGTTCACCCTTTCACTTTCACTTTTTCACAGAGGGTGGAAATGAGGATGGAAAATTATCATTAATACAAACATTGGACTTTTTTATAAACTAACCTTGTGAACAACTTAAACTTTTGAAACGGCATTTCATGACCCCTTTAAAGCATTTTAAAGCATGTTGCAACAGACTGGTTCTCTCTGCTCCACAGAGGATGCACAGACATTATTTGCTGTATCTTCTTCATCGTGGCCATAGTGGGCTACGTTGCGGTGGGAATACTGGGTGAGTCCGTCTGCAATAGTGTTAAAGATGGACTGGGTGCTGCTGTGTAACAATGATCATTTAGCTACATTTTTTTTATGTGGTAGTCAGTGTTGCCAGATTGGATGGACGATTTCCAGCCCAAAAGCTCACAAAAAACCGCCTAAGACTTTAACTGTTAAAACAATGTGATGGAATATGTAAATCAAGGTTGATAAGGGCCATTTTCAACGTCAGCAGTCAGAATAATCCAATTTAAATGCAAAAAGTGCCCAATATAAGTGATAGGAAAAAGCAACGTTGCAGGTATTTCACACTCGTTCATGCACACACCATGACAGTCAAAACTGTGTCATTCATTGATAGGCTACATACTGAATTATAATCCGACAGTTAAAAAAAAAACAACAACAATAATGCGCTTCGTGTCGCTCTATAATTTTACACAGAACTGGAAGCCTCTTGTTAAGTTCATATTGTAGAACATAATACAGAACTTTGCACAGTCAAAACTAATTAAGTCTAGCAGTTTTCAAGGATTTATCAATCCGGACCATTAAAAAGATAAAAGACAGGAGCGCAGTAAAGTTAGTTTTAGGTTCGATATTCGCCAGACATTCGCTTTCGTGTTTCCTTATGCCCTTATTTGGTCCTTCCTGTTCCCATTGTGTTCCCCGATTAGTTCTTCTTTTGTTCCCAGCTGTGTTTAGTTTATTATCCTCATTCCCCTGTGTTTATAAGCCCCAGTCTGTTCAGTTTGGTTTTGTCGGGTCTACTTGTCGAATGTATATGTCTACCCTAGCTAAGTATGTTTTCTTTGCTCCCTGGATGTGATTAAAATCTATATGTATAAATTCCACTCCTCGGCTCCGTGCTCCTCACAGTAGTGCACCGTGACAACATGATGTCAGTGCTCTTTTCCTCAAAGAATTATGTGGATGATTTGGATTGAATTTGTGTTAAACATGTGTTACGTTGTGGTAAACATAATAATTGAATATGTAATAAAACGTTAAGATATATGTATGTTAACCAATTTCATTATGCAATAAATACGTTTTTATTTTTGTACTAATTGAATCAAAAGATGAAAACACGCACATTTATTTTATGGGAAAATGTATTTGTTCACACCAATAAAAGAAAAACTAGTACAGTAAAAAGTACTTGACTACACACTCAGTAAAAGAGGTTTATGATAATATAAGTACAACTTAAAGCAATTTTCATCAAATTCCACAAAAAAAGATGATTAAGATACTGCTCTATCCATGAGGAATAATACCTGTAACACAACTTTTATATATAATCCAAATGGTATTCCAAGAACAACTGGACAGATTATAAAACAACAACGTTCAAATCAACAATTATGTTCTATCTTACACAGTAACTAACAATAAGGCCAATTACTTTGGGTTGTAATGTAGGGACAATCACCTTGCAACTGAACATCAGGAACATGACCAAAAGACCTGGAGTTGATTCTGGAGGGAAGACAAGACCATAAGGGTGACTATCATGTAAAAACAAAGTGCGTAAGTAGTGGAGACATACTATGCTGCCATGCCAGGTGGCTACAT